CTACTATCTTTTTTAACTTAAAATATGAGTAGTAGATACTGCTTGGTAACAAGAGCAGGGATTCTGGTCTATTCTGGCAACAAAATCGAATTTTTAAACACTCATCCCTTCAAATCCAATTGAACACTGCTCAAGATCATTTACTACAGACTTCTCCCCGAGCCAGGCGTTCTGAAGTGACTCTTTGGGCTGGTACATGCAGCTTTCACCTCAAGCAAACCTCCATCTAGTTAGAACATGACAAAGAACATGGCTGGTTCAGAGCTGGCTTAGTCTTTTCAAAATAAGGCGCACGACCGGGGAGTTTTATAGCAAGAACGCCTACAGGTTTTAATTGCTTAATATAAACATCCATGCCACCTGGTGATCTCACCGGTGTGGGCTTCTGACTTCTTCCAGAGCTGGGTGTGCCTGTGGCCAGTCTAAGACATAACGTGATGGGGCTTCAAAACATTCATGAAAAGATTTCATTATCTTTCACTTTTTCCAAGAATCTTTTGAGGATGCCTCCTGTGTGACTTCAGCTTGCTGCCTGGTTTTCATTCGTTGATTCCAAATATCTGATACAATCCTCATATTGGACTTGAACCAGGCAGAGCACACAAATGAAATGTTCTTTAGAGAACGTGAGACTCGTTAAGGATGAAATAATGGGTAAAGTGGGGAGAATAACAGAATTTGAGCTTGCTGTGACTCAAGAATTTCATAACCTTTGGGCAAACAGATTATCAACTGTGAAGACTTTATGACATTCTCAAGTATGTAAGTGTTCACTTGATGCTGTGTGTGTGCGCGCGCGCGCGTGCCTCAGTCTAAGTTTTAAGGAGATATTTGTGAAGCCGACTGTACAAGAAAGTTTTAGAAATCAGTAAAGTGTCTTAACTGCTTTACATACAACCTAACCTAGCTTTAGCAAATCTTTACTGTTTTTCTTCACCTTAAAAAAACAACCCACTACCTAGTGTTTATGGAATGTGAGAATACAAATAGTTAGACATGCAACGAGGTCAAAGGATCAGACTGAACACATTGATTTATTTCATCTTCATGATTACAGGCATTGGCAAGATGGTCAAGAGGGCAAAGAAAGCAAACTGTTAAAAATCCGTATTTAACCAGATGCAGCATTTTGACATTTTTGTGATATGCATGTTAACAATTCATTGACTTGGGCGGGAAGCCAGCTCTTTTCCCTGGCAGCTACTCCCAGTACCTTAATTCCTGAACTACATTGTCCACTCTATGATGTTTACTGTAACTCTTGAAGCATTCAAATCTTAGCCACCTCTTGTTAAGGCAGAGTTATTAGTTTGTTAAAAAGTGTTCTTCCTCTTGGCTGGCCCAGCGATCTTAACCATTAAGTTACTATATGAAAATAAAACTATGCTCCTAAACTAAGGTGCTTTTTCAGAGCATTAGCTTCCTGAGAGAAAGGAGAAGTTCTCATCAATCAATTCCATGAGCAATGACCCCAGGACCAC